CCCGCCTAAGTTCATGGACATAGCTTACCTGAACAAGACCTGGTTCCTGCGTGGAATGCACAATGGAAAGCACATCTATCGCTTTGAACATCCCACATTTGGCATCTCGAAGGTCCTTCTACCGAACACCGACCTCACAAGCACGAACAGCCGAGATGGAATCCTATTTCTTCCCACGGCTGATCAATTGTTCATGGATGGAGGCGATGCCATGGTCGATGATGAACAAGGACGCGAAGAAGGAGAGCCTTCATCAAGGAAAACAAGCGAGCTTGGGGAGTTCGACTTCATCCCCTACAACGCAAGTGGAAGCGTTTCGGCGATCATCAAGGCGCACGAGCACATAGGCATGCTTCAAAAGTGGTGCAAGAAACAAGATGAGGTGATCAAAAGCTCACCGAGACAGTCAATGTCCTCAAGGAGCAAAACTCTCTTGCAAGTCACCAAGCAACCAAAGGCCGCATCACCAACAAAACCGTGGAGCCGGCGTTAAGGAGAAGCAAGCGGAAGAGAAAAACCGGCGCATCACCACCTCCAACGTCTTCAACGGAGCCGAATCGACCTTGACGAGTGTCCCACACCACCCTACCCTGATAACGAATAAGGTAAGACTCAAATCATTGTAAATACCACTCATTTTTATTTTTCTTGTTTTGCATCTCTTTGATGGATCTCTTCTTCATTCTCTTTGTGCACAAGAGACTGTGCACTTTAAGTTTGGGGGAGAGGTCCATAGCATTTGATCATGTTTTCTGTGAATCTTATTTTCAATTTTCATCCTTGAGTCTCATGTAGTTTGCATTGCATATATGGCATAGAAAAACCAAAAAAATTGAAAAATTTCGAAAATTGCATTCCACCAAAAAGAAAAGCATCATGAGCATTTGCATTTTAGGATTGAGTCTAGATGCATATCATCCCATTTGCATAGAGGACAATGAGGAATAAAGTTTGTGATTTTTCGAAATGGTTTCAATGATCCGGTTTTGAATCATTTGGTGCATATAGAGTGAGCTTGAAGTTAAGAAAGAACCACACCTTGAATGCACTCTTTGACATCTAGATTTGGCTGAAGCATTGTTGTGATTTGATCTCTCATCCTGCCTATCGAAACCTGAATTTGATGTCTAATTATCATCCTTGTGCATTTGCTAAGAACTCGTGGATACATATACATACTTGGATTATCTTTCACCCTTTTCACCACTCTTGTTAATCCAAGTAGATTTCCCCACCTTGAACCAACCTTTCTTTGAAACCAATTTGCTATTTCTGAGTGTGTGAGGCCTTTTTGGTTGAGCTTGGTAGAAAGTGTTGGGTTTTTACCGACAAGGTCTAGGTTTCCATGTAGATTCTAGCTCGTCCTTTGAGCTAGTTAGGACTAAGTTTGGGGGAACACCATTTGGGTTGGGGAAGTTCTTAAAAGGAAGAAGAGAGAAAGAGAGTTCCAAAAAGAAAGTCCTAAAAAGGGAAAGAAAAGTTTTAAGCCGAGTCTCTTAGGAGGGAAGAGTTGTGAAAGTGTAGCTCTCTAGTAAGGTTTGGGAAAGAAAGTAAAGCTCTAGCTAGAAAAAGAAAAGAAAGAAAGGCAAAAGCCAAGTTTAGAAAAAGAGCCTAAAAAGCCAAATAAAAGAAATCTCCCAAACCGCTAGATGAAGTTTAGAAACCTCTCCTAAGGCTTGAAAGCAAAGAAAAGAAAAGGTTTCCATTAAAAGGTCAAGCAAGTTATGCTTTCTTGGGTAGATAGGATTCTTGGGAAACAGGGGATTGTGCTTCATTGTTCTCGGGTAGATGGAAGTCTAGCCTTGTATCATCCTTGGTTTTTACCCTTAGCATTCTACTAAAGCTCAACCTTTTCTTTGAGAGATCCCTTGTGCTGATTTTGAAACCAGAAAACGGGACCATCTTTGTCCTTTGAAACTTACCCTTAAGCCAAGCGAGTACTTTGAAATGCATGAGCGGTTGATTCACGGTTCTGAAGTAATTGAATGTTAAAGGATGAGAGTTATTTGAATGCATTGTGTAAGTTGAGTCTAGTGTCTTCCTGTTGCTTTGATGGTGTGGCTAAAATTTTGGAAGTAGAGCTCATTCGCCTTGCATTTTATGATTCTCAACCCGATCATTGACTTCGTTTCCTCTCATTGCATCCTTGAGTTTTGAGTCCTCGACATATCAGCATCTCTCGATTTGTCTTCTCGCTTGAGGGCAAGCAAAGTGATGTACTTGCATTTTACATAGTTTTAGTACATCTTTTATGCATCTTTTGCATAGTTTTAGCATCCATTAGCATCATATCTTGTTCCTTTTCTCTTCTTATGCATTCATAGTAGTTTTAGGTTGCATTTGCATACATATGCATGTTTGGTCCTTTGAAATAGGTCTTTTGGAGCATTCTGGAGCATATGGGACGAGGAGCATGGAGGGACTTGGCACATGGACGCAGCTCAACTGGATACGCAAAGGAAGAAGGAGAAGCCATCTTGAAGACCAGCTCGACCGTCTACTCGACCAACCGGTCGAGTTCCTCAACTCGACCGGCCAAGCTTCAACTCGATCGAGCTGAGAAGTCAACAGTCAAACCCGAAAAATGTTGCTTCCCCCTTGACTTTCCTTTGACCCTAAACCTAATCCTCTTGTATTTAAAGGCTAAAAGCCACGAAAAAACCACCAAGCTTTAGATTACTTTTGTTTTAGTTTCTTTTAATTTATTGTCTTTTACTTTTTAGAGCTCTAATCCCATCTTTGTGTTCTTGAAGCTCTTGCTTCTTGAATCCTAGATCCTGGATAATCTCTTTGTATTTGCACTTGCTTATTTCAATAAAAGTTGTTTAATTTCATCTCCTCTTTCTTATGATGTCTCTTTTATTGCATTTGCTTGTGTTTACATTCATGTGTAGTGAGTAGTTACCCATTAGGGTTTGAGATGGGATAGATTAGAGGTTTTATGCTTAATCCTTCTTGCTTATGGTCTTAATCTAGATTCTCTCTCTTTTGGAAATCTTAAGGCTACATGACCACTACCCCTGGCTTGTATGTCCATTAGGCGATTCTCCACATGGAAGTGATGGAAATCGCTGGAAAAGTCCACTAAGAGCTCCAATATCTCTTGCTCTAGAAATGAGGTCTAAGGGGTTGGATGGATTAGTTTGGGCAATGATCCTATGGCCTCCAAGGCTTGATTCTCACTGGCTAACCCCCTGTTTCTGAGATCATTCCTTGGTTGATAGCCTTCACCTTGGGAAAGGGTTGCTAGGCATTGAGAAGCCCAATATCAAGAGAAGCCTTGATACAAGGAGTTTTAAGAGCAAGATTGATTAAGTATAGCTTCCTCTGATTGCAAAACCCTGTCTTGAACCCTAATTCTCTTTAGCTTGTTAAAGTCGCTGCCTTTATTGCTTTTTACTTCAACTCGACCCTAAACTCGATCGAGCTGGTACTCTGTTCCACTCGACTCGAGTCCTTGGTCGAGCTGTTGCTCTACTGCTTTATTTACTTTTGCATTTCATTTCTTTCATTTAGGTTGTTAGTGTTACCAAATCTTTACTGCTTGCTTGACTTCCTTGTTGTTTCATATTCTCATAGAGTGACAAGTTTCCCATTTTGGATTGATAACCTCTTGTACTACATGACTATGATGGTTAAGAGGAATTGATTGATTGTGATTGCACCATACCATTCATCTTTATTCACCCTGTTTGCATTCCACCTCATATCTTATCACACACACAAAATCCTATCATCAATTTGGCGCCGTTGCCGATTTGGGATTATTTTGTTGCATTTGAGTTTCAAATACACTTGGACGATCAAGCTATACCACCCCTGTTCTATTGTACTGCTGGGTTTTTGTCTCTTTTTGCAGGTGTATGCGAACTCGATCGAGTCGGTCTACAGAGACTTGGTCGAGCTAGACTTTACAACGGGTAGAAAGAGGGTTCAGAGGTCACAGAGGGTACAAGAGGAACCTGAGGTGCTTGTTGCTGATACAATGGATGTACCAGAGGGGAATGGAAACCCTTTGGGCAATGGACTCGGTCGAGCTAGGCAAACTCGACCGATTGGTCAAGGAGATGCTCCAAACCGCCACCAACAGAGACAAGGGATTGTTCCACCACCAGTGCAGAACCACAACTTTGAGATCAAGCTGGGAATGATCAACCTTGTCAGAACAAGATGTTCCATGGATTGCCAAGTGAAGACCCCATTGACCACCTTGATGAGTTTGATAGGCTTTGTGATTTGACAAAGATCAATGGTGTCTCTGAAGATGCCATCAAGCTGAGACTCTTTCCTATGTCTCTAGCTGACAAAGCTCACCAATGGGAGAAGAGCTTGCCCCATGGCACAATCACCACTTGGGATGAATGCAAGAAGGCCTTTCTTGCTAAGTTTTTCTCCACCGGTCGCACAGCCAAGCTTAAGGAGTGAGATATCCAGCTTCATCCAGCGAAACAATGAGACATTGCTGAGGCTTGGGAGAGGTTCAAAGGGCTACACAAGTCAGTGCCCACACCATGGATTCAACAATGAATCACTACTCTCCACTCTTTATAGAGGATGCTTGCCTAGGTATAGGGAGATGCTAGACACAGCTAGCAATGGGAACTTCCTCAACCAGGATGTAGATGATGGCTGGCAACTTGTGGAGAACATAGCTAACTCAAATGGAAGCTATGGAGAAGAGTATGATCGCACCAATCGGAGCTCGACCCACCACTCGATCGAGTCAGACGAAAAGTTGAGAAAAGATGTTAAGGCATTGAATGAGAAGTTGGATAAGCTGATCTTAGCTCAGTCCACAATGAAGAAAGTCAACTTTGTGTCTGCTGAGGAGATGGAACCAGTCCAAGAAGGGGAGGATACACAATTTGCTGAGGTGTGCTACATGAGCAATGGGCAAGGAGGTTACAACAAAGGATACTATAACTACAAGTCCAACCCTGCCATGTCATACCGCAACACTGATGTTGCTAACCCTCAGGACCAAGTATATCCTCAACAACAAGCAGCTCGATCGAGTCAAGCCACAACATGGGTATGGTCAAAAGAACAATTACCAAGGACCACAAGGCACTTTCCCTGGACAACAATGTAAACCACTTTAATGATTTCTATCACATATGAAATCTATCCCAAGATAATCTAGATTTGATATAATCCAATCCTAACAGTTTCTTAGAGAAGAAGAAAGAAACACTAACCTTGATCCATGCTTTCTTCTGTCTTGTTGTGAGATCAATACTTCAATTGATCTTCTCCTCCCTTTGACCTTTCTCCTTCTGATCCCTTTTGATGGACAAGGGATCCAAACCTTAATCTCTCTTTGACTTTTCTTATACGAGTGTTGTATGGTGTGTGTCTGTGATTGTTGTTGTTGTCTCTTAATTCTGAGATCTCTTATATATAATAGAAACACATGCACACCAACGGTTACGTACGTAACCTCACGACCATTCAACACATCCTTTCTCACATGTATTAATATATATAGTTAATCATATATATAATACATATGACCATTAGAGAAAGATGTTTATAACATTATAGGGTAAGGGAAGAGGGTTATCAATACACCCAGATTCTAATGTCTTTCATTGAAACCAATCCATCATGGAATCATCTTTTATATTAGAATCATTAACTATAAGAACTTGATCTTTATATTAAACTGAAAAACACATAGGTCACACATAAGAATATAAATATTCTTACATTCTCCCACTTGACCTTTGTGTTAACTTAATAGTTTAATATCTATAATGTGCATGTTATATCAAGTTCATATAACCTTAATCACCACAATAAAATCAGAACTAATCGAATCATGGCGGTCACACATCATTAAACGACATGATTCCTTCCATGTATCACAAACTAGTCATAATTTTACAGGTTTCCTTACATTTGAGAAGAACCTTAATTCTCAAACTAAACATATGTTATCTCTGAACCATAAGTGTATACACATACTTTAATAATAACATACTTAATAAAACAGAAACATAACTTTAAGTGAATTCATAGTGTCACACACAAATGAGCATTCCATATCTAAAATAGCAAGGCTTTATCTATAATACCCATACGTTCTACATGGCCAATGAACGCCTTGGGTGGTAGTCCTTTAGTTAACGGATCCGCAACCATCATATCCGTCCCTATGTGCTCGAAGGACACTCTACGTTTCTGTACTTCTTCTTTGACAGACAAATACTTTATCTCCATGTGCTTGGCACCCTTCGAGTACTTGTCATTCTTTGAAAAGAAGACAGCTGCAGAATTATCACAATAGATTCTCAGCGGCTTCTCAATATTGTCGACAATTTGAAGCCCTGAGATAAAGTTCCGCAGCCACAATGCATGAATTGTGGCCTCAAAGCATGCCACGAACTCAGCCTCCATAGTAGAAGTAGCAATGACAGACTGCTTTCCACTTTTCCACGATACTGCTCCTCCGGCTAATTGGAACAAATAGCCAAACGTCGATTTCCTGCTATCGACGCATCCAGCATAATCTGAATCTGAATATCCAATGATCTCTAGATGATTGGATCTCCTGAATGTAAGCATGTGCTCTTTGGTGCCTTGCAAGTACCTGAGAACCTTCTTTGCAGCTTTCCAGTGATCCATTCCGGGATTACTTTGATATCGACCCAACATACCAACAGCAAAAGTGATATCTGGCCGAGTACATGTCTGAACATAGTTCAAACTCCCAACTACTGATGCATATGGAATTCTTTCCATTTCCTTACGCTCCAATTCATTTTTAGGACATTGCATTTTACTGAACTTATCTCCCTTCTGAATTGGAGCTATCCCTGCAGAGCATTTTTCCATCTTATATCTCTCTAAGATCTTATTAATATATCCTTTCTGAGACAAACTTAACAAACCTTGTGATCTATCTCGAAATATTTCTATTCCGATCACATAGGATGCCTCACCCATATCTTTCATTTCAAAGTTCTTAGAGAGATACTTCTTTGTATCATGTAACATCCCCATGTCATTTGCAGCAAGCAAAATATCATCAACATATAAGACTAACATAATAAACTTGCTCCCACTGATCTTAACGTAGATACATCGATCAACAATGACCTCTACAAAACCATATGACGTGATGGTATCATTAAACTTTAGATACCATTGTCTGGAAGCTTGTTTAAGTCCATATATTGACTTTCTCAGCTTACATACCATATGTTCTTTTCCTGCGACCACGAATCCTTCAGGTTGGTCCATATATACTTCTTCCTCAAGATCTCCATTCAGAAAGGCGGTTTTCAAATCCATTTGGTGAAGCTCAAGATCATACTGAGCTATCAAAGCCAAAACAATTCTTAGAGAATCCTTCTTAGAAACAGAAGAGAACGTCTCTTTATAGTCAATGCCATCTTTTTGGGTGAAACCTTTAGCTACAAGGTGAGCCTTGTATCTGTCAATGGCACCTTTCGAGTCGCGTTTAATAGTGTAAATCCATTTAGAACCAACGGTCTTGAAACCGTCAGGCAACTCTACTAAGTCCCATACTCTTATATCACCCATAAGACTTCATTTCATCTTTTGAGGCAATAAACCATTTTTCAGAATCATCACTTTCCATGGCTTCTTGGAATGACTTCGGGTATTCATCAATACTTAAGTCACATTCACTTTCAATAGCGTAAACCATATAATCATTAGAAATGGCAGATCTTCTTTCTCTTCCAGATCGCCTTAATGGTTCTTGTGGTGCACTATTCTCTTCTTGAATTGTGACAGGTTCATTGATAATATTATTATCTGGTGGGATTAGCTCATCATCATGTTGTTCTATTGTGCTATTTGTCTGTGATGCAACAATAGGAACAACTATAGGAGGTGAAACAACAGGAGAAGAAACTTCATCCTGAATTTCTTGAATGTCCACCTTTCTAGATTCACCACTCCCACTAGTTTCACCGTTCTCAATGAACCTAGCATTACCCGTCTCAACTATTCTCGTACTATGCTTAGGACAGTAAAAAGTATACCCCTTTGATTTTTCAGGATAGCCAATGAAAAAGCTACTGAGAGTCCTAGAATCAAGTTTCTTTTCATGTGGGTTATATAACCTTACTTCTGCTGGGCAACCCCAAACACGTAAGTGCCTTAAACTAGGTTTCCTTCCTGTCCACAGTTCATAAGGGGTCTTAGGAACTGCCTTACTAGGAACCCGGTTCAGCACGTACGTTGCAGTCCTTAATGCATATATCCACAATGAAAGGGGTAAAGAACTATTACTTAACATGCTCCTAACCATTTCTTTTAGAGTACGATTCCGCCTCTCAGCTACACCATTCTGCTGAGGAGTACCAGGCATTGTATACTGTGCACAAATGCCTTTACTTTCAAGTAACTTTGCAAATGGACCAGGACATTGTCCACTTTCATTGAATTTTCCATAAAACTCACCACCTCTATCAGATCTCACCACTTTTATTTTTCTCTCCAACTGCCTTTCCACCTCATCAATGAACACTTTTAAGACATTCACAGACTGAGATTTTTCATGCAGGAGATATGTATATCCATAACGTGAGTAATCATCAATAAAGGTGATAAAGTATTTTTCGCCACTCCAAGAGGGAGCATCGAAAGGGCCGCATATATCGGTATGAATTAACTCAAGCAGCTGAGTGCTTCTTGTGGCTGGTTTCTTTACAACATGTTTAGTCTGCTTTCCTTTAATGCAGTCTATACACACATTTAGATCACTAAAATCCAACTGAGGTAGAATTTCATTCTTTACCAACCTCATCATCCTTTCTTTGGAAATGTGACATAACCTTTGATGCCACAAGAAAGCAGAACTTTCATCTGATGCACTACGTTTAATGCCACGACTTTCAATATTAAATAAGGATTCAGAGAACTTTGCATCAAGATTGAACCGATAAAGTGAATCAAATAAAGTACCACTACCATAAAAGTAATCGTTTCGGTACAATGAGAATACACCATGTCCTATCTTAAAATCAAAACCTAAATTGTCCAACCTACTTACAGAAACAAGATTTCTAGCACACTCAGGTACATAAAGACACCCTTCAAGATTCACATGACAACTAGTGTCCATGATCAATTTATATGTCCCAATGCCTTCTATACGCGCTTTCATCCTGTTTCCCATGAACAAGTACTGTTCAGGTCCTCTTATAGGCTGGATCGAACTGAATCCCTGTTTAATATGAGACACATGAGTAGTTGCACCAGAATCTAGCCACCAAGTATTATTAGGCACTTCTATAAGGTTCAATTCAGAGCAAACGAAACTGTGATGTTTACCTTTCTTATCGAACCATGCCTTTCTTTTAGGGCAATCTTTCTTGAAGTGTCCCACTTGCTTGCAGAAGAAACACTTCCTCTCCTTCTGGATTTGACTCTCAGGTCCCTTCATGAAAGTCTTATCCTTCTTTTTACCCATTTTACTCAGTTTTCCTTTGCTGCTGCTGGCACTTCCATGACCCACGAAATTAGCAACATGGTCTCTCATCTTCTTTAATCTCCCTTCCTCTTGAACCAGCATAGCCTTTAACTCCTTAAAGTTCCATTTGTCTTTAATGGTGTTGTAGTTCACCTGGAACTGGCTAAACTCAAAAGGCAGAGAGTTCATGATGAATTGGACCAAGAAATGCTCATTCACTTCCATTCCTAGGGTCGATAACTTTGCTGCCAAGTTAGACATGTGTGTCACATGATCATGGATTGGCTGAGACCAGTCAAACTTTCTTGTAGTTAGCTCATTCATTAAGCTTCCTACAATAGACTTGTCAGCCAAATCCGATTGTGAACACTCCTTAATTTTCTGTAAGAATTCCCTTGCTTTCTCTGTCTTAGGCATAGATGACTTTATACTTTCTGCCATCGTCATCCTCATGAGGTTCAAGCTCAGCCTGTTAGATCGCTCCCATCTCTCAAACCGAGATTTTTCAGCTTCAGAGCTTTCTTCTGTAATGGCTGCAGGCTCATCATCTGTTAGTATGGCAGAGTCCAATGCCATAACACCCAGTGTAAACTAGATCTGTTCAGACCATTCCCCATAATTGAGCCTATTGAACTTCACGACAGAGTTAGCAGATGCAAACAAAGATGAAGCTGCAAGCATTAATACATGCTTAACCATTAGTGCTTTGAAACTTTAATACAGATTCATAATCATAATGGAAACTTAATAGTATGAATCTAAGCAACCTTTGGGCAATACTTAAACTCACACACTTTCAGCGATGCTTAATTTATACTTTTCTAATTAATCAAATCATACACAAATCAAATAAGAATGCAACCTTTGGGAATACATACTATTGACTATAGTAAGAAAAGATTAATCCTATTCATATTACTAACTATAATCAATGATCTATCTTTGGATAATCTCCTAGACTATAGATAGTAAAACAATTGATCAATCAAAACTTTTATGTCATTTATGTATCTCTTTAATCATGATCAATTAGTACATTTAATTATATTTAACATCTCTATGTAAATAACAAGGCCACTTTGATGACTAACATGTTATAAACAATACAAACATTAAAACTTTGATGGGTAACTTAACTGTACAGTGATAATATTGCATAACACATTAGTACCCTTTAAATGCACAGCGGAAGTAATTATAGAACTAAATTCTTATATACTATTCTAAACCAATATAATATCATACAAATTTTAAGCGTGTCCTTAAAAAAACATACTAGATAGCAAATCTATTAACCAGACCAACCGTTAAACCAATTCACTATCCATATTCTATACACGCTTAAATATTAATTTTATATGATATTGCCTTATGTGCTTCTCCTCCTTTTATAATCGTGACTATGCCCCAGAAACAACCGTCACGAAAAATAACAAATTCCAGAACTTATAAAAAAAATGAACATTCAATCTTACATGAGCGCATTCATGTCATTTAAAAATTCCATAATACGTAAAGAGAAGCACTGGTTCATGCATGCATATTAACCGACAAAATTCCAGAACAAGAGAAAAAAAAATTCACGCACTTGTTTAAACATGTCATGCGATGCATAATAACATATATCATTTCAGTTTATTCCACAAACCTAACTTTAATTCTAATTCTCAGAGAATTCCACTACGAGACTACGTTTACGAGTTCCGTTCATACCGTAACAATTCACGATCAAGAGAAAATAACTCAACGGTGGACTAAACAAATCTAGATGGCTCTGATACCAATTGTAAACCACTTTAATGATTTCTATTACATATGAAATCTATCCCAAGATAATCTAGATTTGATATAATCCAACCCTAACAGTTTCTTAGAGAAGAAGAAAGAAACA